TTCCTCTCTATATAAGGAGTTTAAAACAACATTCAGAGGAAAATGCCGCAAACATTCTTAAAGCGAAACTTGAAACTAAAAAACGTAATATATTTCTAGCACTTAGTGTGGCATATTTATTGATTTATTTTCGAAACTAAGGAGCAATAAAGAAAGCTTTAACAATATTGTACACCATAGGGCCATTAAAAGAGGTCAATATGGTCTTATTTCTAAGAAATATACGATTTAATTTTATGCTTTTTTGGGCTGATTACTTTTTGAGGTGGTGGAGATTACCAATTGAGGAGCGCGCTTGCCGCAAAACAGATTTGGGTGGCGGTGATTACTATTTGAGGAACTCTGGACTCCCTCCCTCTACTGAGGCATGCACATATGAAGTTGCTTTAACTTGCTTAAATTATTTACTATATTTAGAAAACGGAATTGCAATTTGAACACACAACATGCAAGATGAATAACTAGACTTCATTTTTTAACAAATGTTGATTTGAGTCTTGCCTCTGATGGCTGAAATACAACTGATGAATAAATGTAACATGTTACATGAACAAAGCATGCAGTTTAGCACAACACTTACAGGGGTGAACACTACCAATTGAACAAAACAAATTACAAAGATCATCAAAATAAGATACTTTTGTATGAAAATTATCAAAATTGTAACATATCATAATATCTGTACTGATTACACTTTTATAATTCCTTTTCCTGACCCAAAAAAATTTTAATACTTTGTATAACCAGTTTGTTTATTAAAACTGCACCCTGTATAATCATGTTTGTTTATTAAAACTGCACCCTGTATAATCATGTTTGTTTATTAAAAGTGCACCCTGTATAATCTTGTTTGTTTATTAATGAGCATGTTTGATAAGATTTTGTGTGTAAATAAATAGATATGTTAACAGTTTAGATAAAGAAATATATTCAACAATTTTAGAATGAAAACATTTCAATTCAAGAAAATCTCTATGAAACTTATGAACTGACAACTTTATCAATCAACATTCTTAAAATATGGACCATGAATAGAGATGTACTTAAAATATGGACCATGAATAGAGATGTACTTAAAATATGGACCATGAATAAAGATGAGGACGCACATTGCACGGGCAGCCGTAATACATTTGAATTTCCGAGCCGGGTCAACCATTCCGGTCCCAGTTTGTACTGTACCTAACTCTATGGACAGGACTAGCCGGTGCAACAAAGTTGACGCGGTCAGACTTTATGCTTCATATAGGCTGAATTTACTTTTACTAAACGGGCAGATTTGCGTGATTGATAACAACACACATTAAGAATTAGGAACGCACATTTATGACAGACATAGAAGATACGTATGCTGTATATACAGATAACGCACTGAATTTATAGTTAACAAGTTAAAAAATATTGTTAATAAATAACTGTATTTCAGTGTAACTGTATACTCCGGTTTATTGGAAATACCGGCCGGACTGTCCAATAAGCCTCTAGAGATAGCTTATACACTAAACAGTTAAGGATAGTTCGTTTTCATTTTTTTTTGAAAACGATCGTTTCGTTTTAACAATGAAACGACGAAGAAAAAACAAAAAACGAAACCGTCATTTTTAGAAAAAATATTTTTTTTAGTTTAAGTTCGTCTTTTCGTTAAATGAAAGTATAGGTAGTTTTTTATTTTTGACGATCGTTAACGAGGACCCTTCGTTAACGACCGTTAACGTCGACCTTTCTTAAACGATTGTTAGCGACCTTTTTACTTTTTTTTGATCGGAATACCCTTAGATCAGGAAAACCTTAGGTAAGAAAACATTCAGGAATTATTTATCTCGATAAAAAAAAATGTCCAGAAATAGATAAATCTAATGTATTTATGTTCACCTTGTAAAAACTGTTTATAAATAGATAAATCTAATGTATTTATGTTCACCTTGTAAAAACTGTTCATAAATAGATAAATCTAATGTATTTATGTTCACCTTGTAAAAACTGTTCATAAATAGATAAATCTAATGTATTTATGTTCACCTAGTAAAAACTGTTTATAAATAGATAAATCTAATGTATTTACGTTTACCTTGTAAAAACTGTTCATAAATAGATAAATCTAATGTATTTATGTTCACCTTGTAAAAACTGTTCGTAAATAGATAAATTTAATGGGTCTCTAAAAAACTGTATTGTGTTTGCCATATTATTAATTTTTAGACATTTTAAGAAGATATTTTAAGTGTCGAAAAATTGGAAAAAATTTGTAAGAAATTGAGGCCCTGGTATTAAATTTTTTTTTAAGAGACACCCTGTATGTTCGCACAGTGCACTGATTAATTGATAAAAACAGGCAACAAATGTAATTTGTCAATAACTTTTTATTTTGTTGATAATTAGTTTAAGATAATTAGTTTAAGATGTCGATATTTGGTGTTTAAATTATTTAGTTGTAAAATTAATTATAATCTAGAATGCAAGAATTGTGACTGACTATTTCAGCATTAAAGCTGTATTTCTATCTTTCAGCATTATAGCTGTATTTCTATATTTCAGCATGATATCTGTATTTCTATATTGCAGCATATATAACTGTATTTCTATATTTCTGCATGATTCAAAGAGAATAGAATACATATTAGAGGGGAATTTATTTGAAAAAATTGTAAAACGGCCATTTTGTTGTACTGTTTCCATACTGCAGGTGTACTTCACATATTTATGCTATATATATATGGAATATCATTTTATAGAAAATCTAAAATTTATGTTAAAAGAAAACCAAATTATGAAATAGGCTGGTTTCATAATTGACCAATGATCATTTCACATAAACTCTATTCCTTTCACTTTACAAATGATGATTTTCCGTTATAACTATAAATCAAATGATGTTTTTTATTCACCTAATTCATTATAAAGTTTATTTAACAGCTTAAAAAAATTCGAAATCGAAATGAATAGTGAACATACTGTATCAATGTACTCTACTGCATATAATTTGTGAACATTTACATGATTTGTACACTTTGAACTCCCTTTCAGGCTGAAAGGGATTGAAAAAATTCATACCGAGAGATTCTTTAAATTCCCCTCTAATATATATTCTATTCTCTATAGGCATGATATCTGTATTTCTATATTTCAGCATTATAGCTATATTTTTTTACAACATGATAGCTGTATTTCTATATATTTAATTACGTCTATTAGTAATTAGTTAGAATCAGAACTCCCCTTTGATTACGGTAATTGTACCCTCGTTGAAATATTCGAGTTGAGATCTCACCCCAGTATAGGGTAGAGATTGATTAATAGATAGCCAATTTTTGTGTCCCTGTTTGGCATTTGGAGCCAGAGTAATAGCTTGTTTGATAGCTACTGAGATCGCGCTCAGTGATCGTGGCGTTGATATGGCATTTAGTGAATCATGTACTGTTTGACATTGAAAGCGGATAGGCTGTACTTGAATTGATACAGTTTATGACGAAGTTTTAAGAGTACGGCATTTACTACACTTTGTCTTTAAAATTCAGCATACGTTATATTTCACAGAATGCATGAATGACTACTAAAATCATTTAGATAATTGTACATAAATTCAAATTATTTGTTTTGGTACATTTTTGCATTACAAGAGAAAAGTAAGAAAATCTGGTGTAAACCCTAGCTTATAACAAATGATATGGAATGTTTTCCATAAACAAATTAACTGTCAAGTCCATAATATTTCATTTCAAATGTTGTATATTTGTATATATATATGTATACTAATTCATGTCCCACCCCCCCACCATAGCATGGTTATTCCACCACTGACCTTTCAACAGATACCATGCTTAAAGAAGGTTTCTTATGGTTTTGTGTATGTACAGTTCATGTACAGCTAGTATGCTGTCTAGGAGTAAAGTATGAAATTGTCACAAAAGACAGGTAGTGTTTGTACAACTACAAATATAGCTCTTTCAGCTTTTTTTGATTTCTAACATATTTTAAATGTGAAGTTCTAGATATTGCGTTTGAACTTCACCCCCCAAAATAGTGTAATTAAATTCTTGTGTTTCTAGTATTTTTGAGAAATCTTAAAGATATTCTAAAATTCTAGAAATTCTTTAAAATATGCTATTGTTGCAGATTAAAGAAAGTGTATGTAAAAAATAGGAAATGAATGAATTGAATTAAGTTCATTTATATTTCTGTTCGATGTTTCTGTAACAGGGAATTTCTATCCGATGTTTCTGTAACAGGGAATTTCTAGCCATTGCTATGTAATAGGGAATTTCTAACTGATGTTCTGTAACAGGGAATTTCTATCCAATGTTCTGTAACAGGGAATTTCTATCCTATGTTTCTGTAACAGGGAATTTCTATCCGATGTTTCTGTAGCAGCAAATTTCTATCCAATGTTCTGTAACAGAGAATTTCTATCCGATGTTCTGTAACTCGGAATTTCTATCCGATGTTTCTGTAACAGAAAATTTCTATCCGATGTTCTGTTACAGGGAATTTCTATCCAATGTTTTTGTGACAAGGAATAGTTTCCCAAAAAGTCCAATTGAAACATACAAACAAGTACGCTCGTCTTGGACTTGACAGTAAATAAAAAAGAATAAATATTTAACAGTAAAAATGATTTCGTGGCGATTGTTGAAGCCCTTTATCAAATTCCTGAAATTAAAAGTCTTTTTCTACGTAAGAGTGGCTTAGTGGGCACTATAATCCCAGTAGGTATAAAATGCCCCATTTAAAAAAGAGAAGTATGTGCTGTCAAGTACTTAGGTTGTGAGATTTATCAACTAAATAAATTGGAAAACTAAATTTGGGGGAAAATAATATCTTTAATCTTTAAATCGTGGTATTGACGGCAGTGAAATATGAAATCCGAAATGAGAAAATAAAACTTAAACTTTTCATATATACAGAACTCCAGGTATACATACTTACACAGAACTCCAGTTATACAGAGTTATACAAATATACACAGAACTCCAGGTATACAGGTATACAGATATACACAGAACTCCAGGTATACAGGTATACAGATATACACAGAACTTCAGGTATACAGGTATACAGATATACACAGAATTTTAAATTTTAAATTTTATTTTCTCATTTTGAATTTCCAATCATACGGTTAAAATATAAAAGTTGAAATCTTATTTTTTGAATTGAAATTTGAATCTCAGGGCCACAGTTTTAATGTATCTACTTTTAAAAAAAAAGGCATTTTAAAATCTGAAAAGTCTCACGAAAGGGTGCAAAATCTAGTTCTCATTACTGTTTAAATTTATATATAAAAAGTTCGCTTAAAATAGGCCATTCTATATAAACACCTATAATTCAGCCCCCCATGTCTGTTGCATAAAACGAATTGGGTTAATTTATTAAATTTACCTGTCAATAACGTTTAGAGGAAGAGAATGAAAGTTGAACTTGTTTGTACAAACCTTCCTCTTCCTAATTAAAACTTCCTTTGCCCTAATCAATCTTATTAACCAAGTTGGTTTAAACTTTCTTATAATGCAACCCTAGCAGGTTTATATAAAATTAGAAAAGGACAAAAACATGTTTTTAAAAGAATTTGATTAACGTTTATAATCGTTTATTTATAATTCAAGTAGCTCCAATTTTGGTATATAGAATGTTTTTTTTTTATCATTATTTTCCATTTTTTCATTTTTTCAAAGAGTATTAAAGGCCGGTACAGACCGGCTATGTAAGGTAGTTAAACTGAGTATGCAGTGTTGTGGACAAATTCTTTAGGATTCATTTAACTGAGACATATAAAACTTTTCCACGATATATAATTACCGAGTTTGAGTGCAAAGTTAACGTTCAAAACCATGAATTTGGGTGGGTACGTTTTCAGAATCGGTTTTTTTAAATAATGAAATAACGACGACGAAAAATAGGGTAAAAATTATACAGTAAACTAATTAGATGGTTAGGAACATATTTCTCAAAAGAAATTTGTCAATAAATCAATGCTAGTATCAATTATTTCGTTTTCATCATTATACTGAATTTCTTATTTTCTTTCAATTTATTCGCAGATTTCTACAATTTCATCAAATGTCGTCTTTTCAATAATAATTCCAGAAAATCTTCAGAAAATCTTTGTGAATAATGAGAAACTAGAATAATAATAAAATAGAAATTAATAATTGAACAAGATTACTTATTTTCGATGATTAGATTAATTTTTATTTTCTCAACCTGTTCCTAAACAACTAATTAGTTCACTGTAAAATTTTGCAGTCGTTATTTAATGATTTAAAAAAAATAATTCTGAAAACGTATCCACCCAAAAGTACGATTTTGAACGTTGACTTTGCGCTCAAACTCAGGATTTACAGATCTTTAAAAAGTTTTATATGTCTCAAGTGAATCCTAAAGTGAGTCCACAACACTACATACTCTGTTCAATTACTTTACATAGCCGGTCTGTTCCTTTAAATATATCTTTATAATTTACACCGTAGAGATAGTGTACCAAAAATAAAAAAGATTTCCCTTGTAAAAAAATATTTGAAAATATTTTAGCGAATATCTTATGAACAAGGTAACATTTAGAGTTTAAATTCATGTTAAAATAAAGTTTATCATGGCTATGCAGGAGTAAAAACAGGGTGTCCCAAAAACATGGGAATTGAGTGAAGAATTCAAAATCGTCTTCGCTGAGCATTAGCGTTTTAATTCTTATTTTTAATGGTCATAGTAATATTTCGTCTGCCAGAGTAAATTTTCTCTGAAGTCTTATTCTTTGTGGGTAACCCTGTATCTGAATTTTAGTATTGTCTCACCTAGGATGCCTGCTTCGTCTGAGTTGGTAGGCCGACCATTGAAAACTAATGTACAGTGTGCTGCAGCCTGCACTATTGTACAGACCTCAAAGTAAGAAAACTAATGTACAGTGTGCTGCAGCCTGCACTATTGTACATACCTCAAAGTAAGAAAACTAATGTACAGTGTGATGCTGCCTGCACTAAAACTAATGTACAGTGTGCTGCAGCCTGCACTATTGTACAGACCTCAAAGTAAGAAAACTAATGTACAGTGTGCTGCAGCCTGCACTATTGTACATACCTCAAAGTAAGAAAACTAATGTACAGTGTGATGCTGCCTGCACTATTGTACAGACCTCAAAGTAAGAAAACTAATGTGCAGTGTGCTGTAGCCTGCACTATTGTACAGACCTCAAAGTAAGAAAACTAATGTACAGTATGATGCAGCCTGCACTATTGTACAAACCTCAAAGTAAGAGAAACTAATGTGCAGTGTGATGCAGCCTGCACTACTTTACAGGCTTCAAAGTAAGAAAACAATGTACAGTGTGCTGCAGCCTGCACTATTGTAGAGACTTCAAAGTAAGAAAACAATTTACAGTGTGCTGCAGCCTGCACTATTGTACATACTTCAAAGTAAGAAAACAATGTGCAGTGTGCTGTAGCCTGCACTATTGTACATACTTCAAAGTAAAAAAAACTAATGTACAGTGTGCTGCAGCCTGCACTATTGTACAAAGTTCGTAAAATGATGAATGTATTATAAACGAAGAACACGTTTTCTGTGGCTTCATTTTGATCAATGTTTACAGCATTTTTAGGGTTTTACAAAACAAAATATCTGACCCTTTGAATTTCATTTTATAATAAAAATAAACAAAAGAAACTGAAATTTTTTTATTTTTTTTAAATTATTTTAAAAAAAACTTCCACGCTCTTGCTATTTTAATAATATACAGTGGTAGGCGATGATATCAATACATGAAGACGACTTTTTTTACAAGTTTGGATTGTTGACAAGCTTTTTTCGAATTACAAGTTTACAAATAATCAAAGAGATGCTTTTTGATTGACATCTTCTCTTAACTTCTATGCATGTGTATCCGAGCTGTTTAACAGATTGTTTTAAATCAAAATTTAAATCGACAGTCGACTTCACTGTATTTATATAATCGCTTACTACTTTGTCAGGAATTGCGTTGGCATCTCTTACAGGGAAACTACTGGAGAATGCTGGATCATTAAACTTCAGGTTAATATCTAATTCTATAGAAAAAACTTATGAAGAAAAAATTCCTCAGAGATTCGACAAATCGCCTAAATCAAATTCCTTGCCAGGGAAGAAAAAAATCCTGTCTTTGAAAGGTTAACTTAAGAAATGAATAGACCAGGAACCACCATATCTCATGTGTCAAATCTGTGTACTGGTGTGGGAGGAGATCAAAAGAAAGCATTATTTTTGAGGGAAAAGGGCCCAAGGGGTGGAATAAAAATATATTGCTATTGTATTATATTGACCAAAAAGCCAAAAATCATAAGTATTCGCTCTACACGCAAATCTGCCCCTTTAGTAAAAGTAAATTCAGTTTATATGAAGCATAAAGTCTGACCGCGTCAGCCTTGTTGCATCGGCTAGTCCTGTCTATAGAGTTAGGTACAGTACAAACTGGGACCGGAAAAGTTGACCCGGCTCGTAAACTCAAATGTACTACGGCTGCTCGTGTCTAACTTGATATATTAAATTGTTTTTTGTTGGACTGTATAATCACATAAGAGCTTTATTCCTTTCCCTTCAACTTCTGTGGGGGCACTGGATTTGTTAATATTCCTCCCACAGTGCACAGTACATAATATGCGTATATCTGAGTTGGGCGTTCCTCTATATAGTTCCTTGGGTTAAATATTCATCTTACTTTCTGGTAAGGGTGAATTTCACTTTCCAGAATTTATAATATTAGGATATATGTATTTGTAACAATCTAAATTAAAAAGTTTTATTAAGGCTAAAACTTTTAAAGGTTGATGGGACGGTAAAAATATGCAATCCTTCGGTTATAAAATATTGTTCTACAGGGTGGTCCAGTAAGGTTTTCTTTGATTTAAAAAAATATATCTCAGCTATAATAAAAAGATTCTAGAATTGCAAGCCCCTCGTAGAATTGAGTCTAACTAAAGCGTAGGACATCTAGGTGTTAGATTGAATTAATTATTAAATTCTTGGAAAAGGTGAAACATGAATATTCAATGAGTAAAATATATTCTAGTTTCCTAGAATTCACTAAATTTTCGTATTTTATTCTCTGTTTCATTAGATTTTAAACTTTCGCACATAATAAAAAAAGTATTTAACGTGTTAAATGTTTGATGGAACCAATACAACTGTGGACAGAGAAGACGACATTATCAAGCAACATTTTGTCTATTTTATTTTTATGCTGTTATAAAGTAAATAATTTTACCAGTTCCTAAACGGATCTACGTACATTGTACAGTGTACAGTTTACAGTTTAATTTCTGTGTCAGTTAGACTATAACTTCAGTCTATATGAATTTTTTTAAAACTAAAAAACAATTCTTACCTTTTAACTTCGTTTCTTGAGATACAAAAATGTGCAAATTTAATAAAATTTAGATTTTATTTTTTTATCTAAATGCGTCTTGTGAATTCGTTTTTCTTTAGCAACACTCTAAACTGCAAAACTTTAAAAGTATGGCAACGAGTCCATTAAAAAAAATGTTTAACTTGTGACAAACCACAGCCAGTTTTTAATTAATAAAGCAAAATCTGAACTTTGTTTAAAATCTTGATCTCCATAGCATACAGATCTTCGGATTAAATTAATTCCTCTCCAATTCCCCTTAATGATCATACCCTGAAACAAAATTTTAATTGAGGATCAAGCATAGGTCTTCAAATTAATAGTGTCTACATTGGATATCGAGATCAAGTGTTTCAGATTAATAATATCCTCACAAAAGTTCCAATCTCTAGACAAAAGAACTGAGTTTTTTTTCTTACAAATCCAAATTTTCTAATTCCTATATGTCTGCAGCCTAATGGTGTTAACCATTCATATTTCAAACTTTAACTATTTGATGTAACAAAATTCATAATTTGAAATATATAATTTGAATTTTGAAAAAATGGCATTGCATAGATAAAGGAATTAAAAAGTCAGAATTTGTGGCGAAAACTCAATTCCTTCTTGCGTTTTTGTAGACAATAGATTTAACTCCTGACTCCCTCAGTTAGTTTTCTAATGTCCAACTTCGCTCATTGGATTTATGGCATCTATATATCTAGTATATACTCTATTCTTTAATGGGAACCGTACATATTAAGATTTTGTAAAGCTTTCCATTTAAGATGCAAAACACCTTTTAGTGAGAAAATTATGGTTCACCTCAAATTGATTCTAGTACAATAGATGGCAACGTAGAATTTGTACACTCTCAGTACAGTTGTATTCTGACGTCACAAGTGTCAATTCAATTTTTGTGTCCGACAAAATTATTAATAATAGTGATAATTTTAGAAAAAATGCTTCAGTAAAATAAGTGCAATGTATGTGTTCTTTATTTTCTGTTTTCACACTTTTTAAATAATCTTGGAAAACATGTCAACTAATAAGAGAAAATTTCGTTTTGCATGTTATATTTGACACTTGTGACGTCGTATATAATTAGTCCATTTCTTTGTGGCCACCCAGTTTAGGTTCACCTAGTCTATCAGATCTCACTAAATTAACTTTGCGCTAAAGTCAGATCTTTGTGCTGTAAATCTTAGGTGTAAGCATTGATCCCCATCTTTTGCAGACCTTCGATATCCCGTTTTGGTGATAACCCCGCGGGGCCAGGAATAAGTAAAATAAAGGGATCATGTTAAAGTGCACACATTGGATATCGATAGCAAGCGTAAAAGGTTAAGGATACTCCACACTAAAGTTCCCAACTCAGGATACTTCATTCACATAGATTCAGCCTGCTTATAAACAGTCTCAGCAATTTTCAGACAGGGTCGACTTTAAAATTTCGCAACGCCATGTTCTAGATTTTACCGCTCACATCTCATTTAAGCTTTTCACGTAGCCATTTACATGTACATTTTTGCACACTAAAGTAATTGTTGTTTGATTTTTAAGAAGCAAAATTCTCATCGATTTTTGTTTATGATCGTTAGACCTTTAAAGCACAGTGCATTGCTCCACCCATCTTTCCAAATCCAATATCCTTGAAACACCAAATACATTCTAGGATATTCCCAATATGGTGACTGTAGCTGGAACCAAGACATATCTAAACTCAAACTACAGTTGTTTGGACAGGTGTCCGGTAATATTTATAATTACTGCCTACAGGGTTACCCATAAAATAATAAGTCTTTAATGACGACCTGAAACCTTTTGTTTGCAGATAGTAGTTTAATGGGTCAGCCTCAAAGGTTACATCGATTTAAATGTTAAAATTTGGACTTTGTTTTACATACAGTCTTTTAATGGTTCCAAATAGTGGTGAGACTTTTTATGACGACGACCTGTAAAATTTTAGTTACTGCTTTTTAAACTTTGTGCCTTAATTTTAATGGCATATTAGAAGATTAAACAAATAAAGAAAAAAAATTATAGTTGCAGTGAACTATGATTAGGACTGAATTAATTCTGTTCAGTTGTCGGAGAAGTCTCTTTGTCGGTAACCCTGTATGATACAATACAATGATATATCTTGCAATATTTATGTGTTCCGAATTCCTTTATGCAGGAGTAATGTGGGAGGAATCTATCTTAACATAAAGAGACAGGGGGGTTAAATTTGAACAGATTAATTATTTCTCTAATAACATGGCCTTACAGAATTATCAATAATATTCTTTTCATCATTTAAGACGGAGAACGGTGAGGAAGGTACTTGCTTGAAAAATCGATGTACGTATTGTGACAATGTTTATAAAGTTCAGGTAACTTGAAAAGAGTGTTTATTTTTTTCTCATGTTTTTTTAATGCAATATAAAACTTTGAAAATTATATTAATATTTTCCGTTCGTTTTAAAAGATATCGTTATTTTTATCTTTCGTTCGGGTTGTTTCATAAACAGTTTAGTTTGTTTGTTGATGATTTGTAAATTAACGTTTTTTTCCGTTCTCTCAGAGAACTTTTTGATAAACGCCGAATTTAACAAAACATTACTGACCAATCTGTATATTTAGGACTCCCTGACTAATCTGTATATTTAGGACTCCCTGACCAATCTTTATATTTAGGACTCCCTGACCAATCTGTATATTTGGAACTCCCTGACCAATCTATATATTAAGGACTCCCTGAAAAATCTGTATATTTAGGACTCCCTTACCAATCTGTATATTTAGGTCTCTAACCAATCTGTATATTTAGGACTCCCTGACCAATCTGTATATTTAGGACTCCCTGACTAATCTGTATATTTAGGACTCCCTGACCAGGCTGTATATTTAGGACTCCCTGACCAATCTATATATTAAGGACTCCCTGACCAATCTGTATATTTAGGACTCCCTGACCGATCTGTATATTTAGGACTCCCTAACCAATCTGTCTATTTAGGACTCCCTGACGAAACAGCCTCTTTGTACTTTTGAACGAAATTTTTACAGCCAAGGTAAATTAATACTTATTTTTAGTTTAATCTCTGAAAAAAAAGTTTCTTTTTGAAAAATCTTTAATTTTTGAGTTGCAAGGACTATAAAAATAATTCCATTCGAACTTGTATCGATAGAGCGGCATTCCAGATTAATTCAGGTACACTTGAAAATATTTAATTCAGATAATTTCTCCATTGTTTCATAATTGCTAGAAATACGCATGTCATAGAGTAAACATAAATAATTCATTTTTGATCACAAAAAAGTGTTTAATTGAACTCGGGCATGTCCCTCTATAAATGAACTAAACTCTACAGTTCCTTGAAATTAAAACTGTTTAGGGACTTCCAAGAGAAATCAGCAGTCTCCCCTTGGATGGTATTTCATTAATAAAAAGTAAGCATAGAGTCATTTATTTATTAAACCAAGACAATAGAGCGAACTTTGTTAAACACAATATACAAATATACATTCTAAATGTTAAATATGGAGTTTTTTTCTACGTTATTTAATAGTTTAATGAGGAGAAATCACTGTTCTATAGTACCTATTGGTCAATTTCAAACACAAAGTTGGGAGACACAATAGGAGAAATCTCCTATTGTTTGTGCAGTAAATATTAGGGTTAGGAATGTTGTGTAAACTGCCTTGCTTCCAATGTAATGCCTGAAATGTTGATAATCAGATAAACTCCAAACAAGTTTAATTGGAAACTTAAGCAGCAGTCATGAAGCTATTGGTAGCAGTCCTGAAGCTTCTGGAAACAGTCATAAAGTTTATGATAGCAGTTCTGAAGCATTGTAGTAGTCTTGAAGCTTCTAGCAGCCGTCCTGGTGCGTCTGATTGAAGCCCTAAAACTTCTGGTAGTAGTCATCAAGCTGTTGGTTTGTAGTCATGATGCTTATTGTTCTACGAGTGGATCCGTTGATGAGCTTTTCAAGATTAAAAGAAATCTTGATTTGTTAGAACTATGAAATTTTGATGAGTAAAGGGAAACAAGGAACAATTACCTATTTTATGGGTATTAAACTAGCTAGGAACCTGAAAAATAGAAGAAAATTTTAAGATTATCAATACTTGTTAAGTATTGTCAAAAAGTTGCAGCAAGCGAAGAAAAGCAGGTTCTAAAAGATGTTTCTGGGGAGTCAAGTCTCCTAAAAAGAAGGGAAGAGATTGGTCTTTGATAAAGGCTACATTGTGCTCAAGGAAGGGTCGTGGAGGAGAACGAAGGTAGAGGTCGGCGTCACTCTATAGAGGGTAAGCATTGGGCAAACGAGGTATCCCTGCTCTGGATAATAATCTGGATAATAATCAAACTATGAATTCTGTTGGAGCGAATAGTCAAAGTTTGAAATATGATAGGTTTACATCATCAAGATGCAAAAATATAGGGATTAGAAAATTTAAGTTTAAGATTTTAAAATTATCTTAAATTTAGATTTTTAGATAACTAATTTCAACTACAGTCAACTACCCATCTTTTAATCCTTGCCATCCTTGCAATTTACGGACAAACTTATTTCATAAATTTTTCGCAAACCAAGGCTGACTTGCACAATTATTACGATTGTGCGCATAACACTCCCTGTTAAAACTTTGAATGTGATTAAAGTTGGAAAAAGTTGTTGTTAATATATGTTCTTTGTTACTTGGTGTCACTAAATAAACTGTAAAAATTCAACCTAAGTTATGTTTTCTTGTTGTAAACGGATTTTATTGGAAACTAAACATTATTACGAAGTTGCACTTTACTCTAATCTTTTAAGCTTTAAATGTAATATAACACGTAAATTATACGTAATAATTGTATACTTAACCTACCGGAAATATAATGTATCAATAAGATGCTAAAATTTAATAAGTTTTTCATTTTTAAGATTTATTTTAGATTTGCTCAATCTGGATTTACATTTGATTCACGTTGTACAGAGAGTTCATCATGTACATTTATATTCTCCTCTACTCCTCCACCTTCAACCATATACTTGTACTGGATCCAGGTATGTACACTGTATAAAGTACATTTTATGTACATTTATATTCTCCTCTTCTCCTCCCCCTTCAACCATTTAATTGTACTGGATCCAGGTATGTACAGAGTACACTGTATACTGTACAGTTTATGGACATGTATATTCTCCACTACTGCTCCCCCTTCAACCATACACTGGTATGTTTATGATTTTTATTCTCCTCTATTCCTCCCCAATCAATCATTTACTTGTACAGGAACAAGGTATTTGCACTGTATAATTTACAGTGTACAGTTCATGTACATATATATTCTCTCTATTGCATCCTTTTTACCATATATTTGTACTGGACTAAGGTCTGTGTCTGCTATATTGCGAATTCCTGAATTTTTGCACAATTTTATGTGAGAACATTTAATGTTTACTTTGTTTTGTAGGAAAAATCTTATAATTAGTCGTCTCAAACTCTAATTTATTCATCTCTTTCGTATAAACCCTTGATAATTTAAACTTGAAATCTTTGATCCGACATATTTGAATATAAAAATTTCTATATTTATATCTTTGCAATCTGAAGGTGTAAACTTTTGATATTTCAAACTTAGATAATGTAATCTAACAGAATTCACAGTTTGAAATATTGGGTTGCAAAGTCATAGGAATTAGACCATCGTTTTTGGCAAAGACTTAAATCCTTATGCAAGAATTTGTAAAAAAATGATGAATTGTTCTTTTTCTTCTTGGAATTAAATTCCGATGATCATGTGGATCTCTTAAGCAATCCATCTATTCTGTTTTCTGGTTTTGCCCTTTTACCAGTAGAGTATTATTTTAGCTCTTTGTTTTCTCTACATCTTTGTTTTCTCCACATCTTTGATGTTTAAACCAACATTTCTCAAAGGAATCCAATTTAACCTTTATCAAGTTAAAAGATGGATTTCTCATAGAATCTGGTCCAAACCAATAAATGTTCGCAAAATAATAAGTATTCTTTTCTTCATTCTAAAGTAGTGATAACTGTAGAATAGGAAGTGCATTTGATGTTGTTACAAATTAAATAGCTTATATAGTTTCTAACATATTAAACCCCTTATTAAGTTAAATGGGTTAGTGTGCCTCATGTTTATTGGACTATTTAAAATTATAACTTGAGTCTAACAGTCGACTTCCTATTTTAGAGTTTTCTGGTTATTACTGTAGCTTCTGGGATTTATTTTCAAAATCTGTAAAGTACATAATTAAATATATTTAGCTAAATTATTACTTATGGCAGGTTTACTTATAATAGAGTATTTCTGGCAAAAATCCTCCTTCCTTAATTACTCTTCTATTTTTATTTAAGTAGTTTTTAAAATGCAGAAAAAGAATAATCATCATTGCAAATTAGACAGAAGGAGAAGGTTAAACTCATGCGACATTTCTTTTACGACTTTGTGACTCCTGTCTCCTCTAATTTTTTTATTTGTAAAAGTATGAAGATAGAAATTTAATAATGGAGACCGAATCTTATTAATTTGAGCTACATCGCTAAACTGCCTATACTGCCGGTTCAAATTTAAAATATGGACTTGATGTTAACCATTCAAAAAAGATTTGAATGGGTTATTGAAATTTGAACTGGGCCGTGGGTAGTTTAGTAGAGAAGTACAATTCACTTTAGTTTGGCGTTTTAGAAACCGTATAATCTACCACACCGCCTTGTCCACTGTGTAGCTGGATAAAAATTAAGCGAGTTCTCTCTTCATGGGAATGTTCAATGTACCTTGTACAGTGTACAATGTATATCAATTTTACAAGGTTTTGGGCAAAGAGAATAGAATATACAGGGTGTCCCACATCAAATTAGACCACGTCAATGGGTCTAAATTACTATTTAGGGAACAAATCAGAAAATTTAAGAAGAATGAATCATTTTGAAAAATTTAATAAGGCTAATAGAAATTTTTTCTTGCAGAAAATGCTAGATTTTTCGAGTATTATATGTGTATTTTGGCGTTAAAGATTGGAGAAAGTCTAATATGATATGGGACGCTCTGTATATTAGAGAGGAATTTAATAGAAAAAAGTGGAAGACGGCCATTTTGTTGTACTGTTTCCATACTGCAGGTTTACTTCACATATTTGCGCTGTATAACCTTTTGAGCCCTGGAATATCATTTTATAAAAAATCTAAAATTAATATTAAAAGAAAACCATATTATGAAATAGGCTGGTTTCATAATTGACCAACGATCATTTCACATAGACTCTATGCCTTTACTTTAAAAACGATGATTTTCCGCTATAACTATCAATCAATTGATGTTTTTTATTCACCTAATTCATTTTATAACGTTTATTTAACAGCTTTATAAAATTCGAAATTGAAATGGATAGTCTAGGGAACATACTGTATTAGTGTACTCTACTGCATATTATTTGTGGACATTTACATGATTTGTACACTTTGAACTCCCTTTCAGGCTGAAAGGGACTGACAAAATTTGATACCGAGGGATTGTCTAAATTCCACTCTAATATATATTCTATTCTGTTTGGTTTTGGGACTTTTTACTGGATCCAGAAGAATCTAAAATGATCCTTATATGTTAAGTTTATTTTGGTGTTTGTTTAACTTTTTAGAATTTTTTTGCATAATGAAAAGAAAGGAAACTTATAGAAAATAAAATTTCATTATATAGTAAATATCGATATTGAAATAAGATACATCACTAAAGTCAAAATTCCTTTAAAGTTTAAAAACGAACTGTAGGAAACAATGCCAATTTTGCGAACACCCCGTCTAATCTGTAGATTTATTTATCTGTGTGATGTGTGTAAGTTTTCATCATGTATTCTCTTATTAGATGAACAGAGATGTTTGGGATTTGAAAACTTTTAAAGTAAGATATTTTTCTTTTTTTCATCAGTTTTTATTTGATTTAAACTTTTCACTAGGATTCTCTGACTTTAACTTATAAACTAAAACACACGCTCAAAACAATTGTGTTTTTTAAACCCAGCTTTTTTAAACCATATTTTTGCTTTTATTGATCCATAAAGTGTGATATTCAAACTTAAGTCTTAAAAGGGCAATTATTGCAAAGGGTTAAACTAACCCGAATTCTGCTATTAATTCTATTACTATTAGCAAAAATGTTAATTAAAAAAGAGGGAGTCTCTTATACACAAAGGAGTAATCGATAGCACTCTGATGATTATGCTGTTTTTTGGAATTTTCCAAAGATACACATGATAAAATAGCTTCAGGACACTTCAGCTTGTTTTCTTATAGGTTCAGTATTCACCGGGCTTTTTAACAATTCTGCTGGATCAAGGAGAAACCTACAACATTCCAACATCAGGTTTTTATTAAAAACACACTTTGCATCTATAGTTTGATTGGGTGTCTGTTTGTTTGTCTGTTGGTGGCAAATAAACGTCAAATCGGGCCAACGTTTGTGTGGGTCCTCACATGACCCCGGGGAAGGTTTATGGATGATAAAAATTTTAAAAATTGGCCTCCAACAAAACTCGAGTTTCATTAGATTTTGAAAATCCACAAAATTTTTATATTTTATAAAATCCGCGAAATTTTTTAATTTTGTTTTACAATGTATACAAAGAGAAAATGTTCACAATTGAAATAGAAGATGGGCGCGAAGAGCTCTGAAAGCCTGGTTTCATAAAGTATTGTATATTCTCCACTTCTACATTTAGTTCACAATTGAAATAAATATCTTTAATATTTTATCTCCGGAGTTTGTATCCTTCTTATTCATTCATCCTCAATCAGAGCTGAACACTTTAGAATGAGATATCCTTAATCCCGATTACTTAATCTGAGTATCCAATGGACACACTTTTGATTTACTTCTCAATCCTCTCTTTTGGGATTCCACTACTGTATAAAAGTTACTTTTGATAATAATTACAGATATGATGCTATATCGATTGGACTAATATCCGATTCATCTGAAGTCAGCTGTTTACAAGCGGACTATTAGAGTATTTAAACTAATATAAATTTAATCATGTTAATATGAATTTACTAAAAACAAATTTCATCACATCTGAGGACTATAGTCATTTTAAACGTTGTCTTAATAAACATTAATCCAAAACTTACGTTCTTTCAATCGATCAATAGTTCAATTGATATGACACCATCAACACTTGAAATGCGCTAAAACTAAAAACAGGTTTTTCAAAAGTTTAAAAGCGCATTTAAACTTGACACGCTGATTGGTTGAATTTTAAACTTCTTTCAATTGGATATTGAATGCGTATTAACATAATCTCAGGTTTAGTAAAACCAGGAGTTTAAGCATTAATCTTTCTTTGATTAATCTCGATATTCACCATTCTAAAGTTTTCAGATCACGGTATATTAAACTTCTTTACAATAAGAATGAAACTATTTGAGCCATTTTTGATGAAAATGCTCAAATCCACATTGCACCAATTCTAGAATTTTCTTTGACACAATTTAATTTAATTTTCAAACTCAATCAGATGTTTGCTCTTTTGTGTATACTCAAATCACAAATGTAAGTCAAAAAAACAAATGAAAAATAAATCCTGATGGGTATCAAAATATTTGTCTTGAAACACTAAGTTCAGACACGTTAAATACGTAAAGATCCCTATAAATCTAAGCAAAATAAAAGTTTTAAAAAAAATGGAAAGAAATTTTGCCAGATTTTCAAAAAAATAAATAGTTTTTAGCCTTACAGAAAACCTTTTTGAAATATCGAAAAACGGACAAATAGACGGTATTTAGCGGCTCAAGGCGCATCTTTTGATACCCATCATGATTTTAAAAAATTTGAAAAATCGACCTTCATTTATTATATCAGTTTTTTTAAATCGTTCATTACTTTTCTTTAAAAATGTTACGTCAAATTGGCTAAATGTATAATATTTTGATGGTGCAATAATGATTTGACATTTTCGATGGAAGATTTTCATCCTTACAAGTTACAAGTTTACATTAAGAATTGCAAGTGCTTTGCGGAACTTTTTCTTCCAAAGCTTCTTTAACAGAGAGATCGCCTGATAGTTGATTTTACCTATTTACTCGTGAACAATAATTTAGCATATTTTGAAGGAAAATTTGCTAAATCTTAAAAACAAATATAAACCACACGGTTAGAAGAAATTATGAACAGAATATTATTTAAGAAGTCTGTTCATAATTTTGAACTAAATATTCGTCATTTGTAATTTTAAAATACTTTTAATATTTCAATCTTATATACAAAACGGTTCCGTTAGGGCTACGTCTCATAGAAACATTTTTCCCTGATTTTATATGGATTCTTCATAAAATGTTAAGATTCAGTTTACAGATTTTATGAATTTTTAAAAATAAGAATTTATTCTTATTTTATGAATGAAGATGTCAGCCAAAGGTGCAAAGTAAAATTTATTACAGAGAAGTATGATGAATCAAATCCTAGGGTTTTAAATCTTTTGAGATCATGTTAAATTAAAGTATCTTTATTGTCACGTTCAATTAAAGTATCTTTAGTGTCATGTTAAATTAAAGTATCTTTATTGTCATGTTAAATTAAACTATCTTTATTGTCACGTTCAATTAAAGTATCTTTAGATTGTCATGTTAAATTAAAGTATCTTAATTGTCACGTTAAATTAAAGTATCTTTATTGTCACGTTCAATTAAAGTATCTTTATTGTCATGTTTAATTAAAGTATCTTAATTGTCAAGTTAAATTAAAATATCTTTATTGTCATGTTAAATTAAAGTATCTTTATTGTCACGTTAAATTAAAGTATCTTTATTGTCATGTTAAATTAAAGTATCTTAATTGTCACGTTAATTTAAAGTATCTTTATTGTCATGTTTAATTAAAGTATCTTAATTGTCACGTTAAATTATAGTATCTTAATTTTCAAGTTAAATTAAATTATCTTTATTGTCATGTTAAATTAAAGTATCTTTATTGTCACGTTAAATTAAAGTATCTTTATTGTCATGTTCAATTAAAGTATCTTAATTGTCACGTTAAATTATAGTATCTTTATTGTCATGTTAAATTAAAGTATCTTTATGGTCACATTAAATTAAAGTATCTTTTTGTCATGTTAAATTAAAGTATCTTAATTGTCATGTTAAATTATAGTATCTTTATTGTCATGTTAAATTAAAGTATCTTTATTGTCATGTTAAATTAAAGTATCTTAATTGTCACATTAAATTATAGTATATTTATTGTCATGTTAAATTAAAGTATCTTTATGGTCACATTAAAATAAAGTATCTTTTTTTGCCACGTTAAATTAAAGTATCTTAATTGTCACGTTAAATTAAAGTATCTTTATTGTCATGTTAAATTAAAGTATCTTTATTTTTATGTTAAATTAAAGTATTTTTATTGTCACGTTAAATTAAAGTATCTTTATTGTCACGTTAAATTAAAGTATCATTATTTTCACGTAAAATTAAAGTATCATTATTGTCACGTTAAATTATAGTAATTTTTACGTTAGATTGAAATCTTGATCGTATACAATCATATTTTTGAGAAAATATTAATAATTGAATGTTATGAATTTCTAAAATGTGACCACAATGAGGAGCACAAGGTCACAAGTGTATGCAATAGATTAAAAATAAAGAAACAATAGTATATATTACATATTAAAAAATACTAGGTACAATGCATAATATTACTATACATAATTCAATAAAATGTAATGATAAGAAGTTTTGGAAACTTTGTTAGAATAGAAGATTATGTAGAGAACATAAAACTGTGGCTTAGGAAGACTTAGGTTTTGATTTTAAATAGTCCAATGAACATATAACACTACAATTATGCAGTGTACACGGACCCATTTCATTTAATACGTTGATTTCAAGCTTCAATTAACAAAGTTTTCTTTGGTGTTTAAAGCGCTGTTAATTTCTTAATATTTCTTAAATTCCATGCACATGAATTAAAATAAAAAAATTTCCCTTCGAAATTCTCAATTATTATATATAGCACAAAATCAAAAAGCTAAAAAAATATCATCAATGTAAACTTTTTATTTCTTTTAATTTGACTACTATTGTAAAGTTGTTGATTATTGTACACGCTAGATTTCTAGTGGATGGAGTCAAGAAACTAGATATTCAACCTTTTTATAATCTTGGCCGACCAGTTAACTGCAGGTACAGGCTGTTTATTTATGTTTAAGTAAATAGCCAAAAAACATTACATAATTGGAACAAAAAAGAAAAAGCTTGGACAACAATCGTTCCGCTTTGTTTTGGTCATCACTGTAGCACATCTCTATTATATAATCATTTTCAGGGGTCTCATTAACGAACATTGGTGTATGCCAGAACTGGGAATTTTCTTTCATAATGGTAATCCCATCTTAAGATACTAAATTTTCAAAAGCATGACAATTTTTATTAGTTCAATAACAATTTTTTATTAGTTCTGAAGAATAAAAAATATTCTGTTATTTAAACTCGTGTAAAACAAATGTAAAGCAGTTAAGTCAGCTTGACCTAAACTGAATTAAGCAATAAAATAAAGATATCTAAAAAAATTTTATGACATAAAGGCCTAATTTTGGAATAAATTTTAAAGACGAAAAAACCAAATTCTTCATCTTATATTAAAGAACTTATTTTATAACTAGTGAATGGGGTTGTTAAACCATCTTATGAATCCCGAGTTACTAAAGGTATTTGGAACTATGATCTAGAAATACAGTGTATGGATCCAGTATCATGTATAACTACTATATCCTCAGGTTATAAAAAAGCATTATTTATTACAAGACTAAGAATGTTTTGTGAACTTTAGATAACAAGTCCTCGAGGGGACAGTAATGTTATTTAATGTCACACTTTAAGTTTACAGGAACATGAAACGTACTCATCCAGTGATGTCACTAAAAATTGTTATTTAAGATAACATTCCGTTATCTATTAATTTATTACATTAGCTGTTAATTTAGTAAAGTTACTTTACCATCAGTATTGCTGTAACGTTTTTGCTAGTACATCACTTGGTTTGCAGGGACGGTTTTGACGAATTTTTTAAGGAACTTAAGTAGATTTACATTTCATGTACGAAAGGTATTGTCAAATCCGCGAAATTATATATAAAAAAAGTTTCCAGAGCTGAATCAATATTTAATGGAAAGAGGACGCCATGGTCTTCGGGACCATCTTTGAGTTTAGACTTATTTTTCATCCTAAATTTGACCCCCCCCCTGTAGTTTTTTTTACATAACTCAAAAAGTATTGGTCTGAGGCTGTTGAAATTTTCTGACTTTTCTTACATACCCAAAGCCCTCCCGTTAGGCCTAAAACCGGGCTTTAATACTAACTGCCTAAGTCCTCAGGCACACTGCCTGAATGACTGCTTTTGCCTGTAACAAACTAAATCTTTGTTTTGACCCACTTCCACTTGTCAGATTTTGATAAAATTTAGCTTTTTGGAAACCCTATGACTTAAGGAAACGGATTGCACAAGTTTTGCGAAAAAAAAATTGCAATTTTTTTGCAAACAACCGGTCAAAGGAAATTTGCACGTTTTTAGTTTTTCTTGATTAAAAATCAGGTTATTTAAAATTTTGCAAAAATTTTTGCATATTTGAAATGACATGGTCAAGGGCTTTTCAAAAATGTATAATTTTTCATTTTTAGGACAAATTTTTTTTGCAAACATTTTTACTATATAACTGGATTTTGCGATAAAAAATTCAATTTTTGCAAATTTGCAAATTTTTTTGCAGATTCTGAAAGTAGAGCACAAGATCTTTCTAATGATGTATCATTTGTCATATTTGGACATAATACATGGATTTAGAAGGGGGGGGGTCAAATTGACCCCACCCAGCATATCCTGGTTTTCAAGTACCCCAGGAGGGATAGGGTTAATTAGGCAAACAAACCCTTTAAATTTAAGTTTAAAAGCATTAGTTTTGTTTAATTTTTAGTGGATTATACCTCGGACACTCTTATGCTCGAAATATCAAATAAGGATCAGCAAGTCATATTAAGGTAAACACTAACCAGTAATTTTATTTCATTCAATTGGTATCGTATTGAAGTTTTTATCCTCATCCTAACTTGCAGAAATTAAGATCCAAATTGCACAATTTATTTAATCTTTTTCAGGCTGAAGAATAGAGCAGATCTTTCTTATACAGAAACTAGCGGAGGACAAACTACTTTAGGAATTGGATCAAAACCAGCAATTAATTATACTTTCAATTTAAGGTCTTGGCAAAAAATAAAACAATTTTGGTAGAATTTGGACGTTCAAAAATCAATGTAACCTTCAAATGATTCAACAATGATATTATGATTGCTTATTTATTGATTTAAAAACGTGTCCAGTGAATACAGGGCCTTGTGCTGGTGTAACACCAGATGCTACCATTGCAGTTATTAAATACTATGAAAAGGTGTTTTCCAGGGTTCAAACTTTCGACCCAGAAATATTTAAATATTTTATATTAAAACTTATTAATTTTTTAGCCGATCCAAGGGGACTGAGTTTTTGTCACAAACTCAGATTTTCTAATTCCTATGTCGTACTCATATAAACCTTTTATGTTTCAAACTATGAATTCTTTTAGAGCAAAAATCAATTCATTTGTTTATTGTGAACAATAAATATGGTGAATAAGTTTAACCTGAGATTGAATGTCCGAATGTTGGCTAAAAATGTAATAGAATAGTTTACTGGGTAATTAGTATTGAGCAGTGATTATAAGATAATCAGCAGGCATTGTACCTAGGACCTTTTACCTAGTACCTTGTACCTTGTACCTAGTACCTTGTACCTTGTACCTAGTACCTTGTACCTTGTACCTAGTACCTTGTACCTTGTACCTAGTACCTTTTATCTTGTACATGAATTGCACTTGAACAGATAACCTTGGCTACCCCCTGCGGAACTTCACCAAGGTACAAGGAGATTCTACATTTTGGAGTAACCATCAACGGGTAAGATATAATTATATCCTAAAGTGTTTACCTCTACCCCCCACCCACCCCCCGCACCCCCAAAAAAATATATGTGCTTTAGATGTTATATATTATATATACAGGGTGAGTAAAAAAAAGTGTGATAAACGGCATTTGGTAAATAATTGAACATTTTTGTACAACTCTTTTTTGAGATCTAGATATTTATTATCTCCGTACCGAGATCATTTCAATTGTACAAAATTGTTCACATATATTTAATACAACTATTTAACGATACTATTGTGTACATATATTCTTAAATTAAATAATAAAAAATCGTACGGATACATTTTATCGTTTTTTCCTTTCATTAGAAATTTTGATTTAGGGATACTTGGATCCTGCAAAACATACAATTTGAATAGTGCAAAAATGAAAGTGCATAGAATAAATTGCATATAGTTAGTCGGTGAAGAAGATTTAAGAATCGTCTGCATATAATTTGAGCATTTAATGTGGAAAATCAGATTGAGCAAGCATTCTAAAGTTTTTATGTAACAATGGTATACTGGCAATGTATGCAATATGGAAGAAACTACGACTGTACTGACGAAGAACATTGAAAGTTCGACGTAAGTATGGCATTCCATTAGTTAAACTATGTCGTCTTGATGCTAATTAGCCGACGTAATTATGGAAAACAAAATCAAGAAGTGTTAAATGTGAAAAAGCTTGTTGTAGAAGCATTTAGTTTCAAATGGAACAAAAACACATTATGCTTAAAAAACCAGACACACGTAGAACATTGGTTCTGCGCTACTGTCTAGGATATTGAATAGAGATTAGTGCTTAACCTCTTCATTTCTCTCAAATCATCAAGGTATAGCAGGGTATGGTGCACGTTTATTTTGTGCAAGGATTTTGAGATATCGATGTAGCTTAGTTATCTCCTCTTCTTGAGACATCATGATTTCATGGCGGTGAGGTTTGACGGTTCAGGAGGCGTTACAGTTTCCACAGACTGAATCAGTAAAAAAAATATCGTTAGTTTATTGTGAGAGAAAATTCAGGGTGTGAAGAAAGATTCAGATTTTTAAGCCGGAGTCTTCATAATTTTAGAGAAGAATAATATCGATAGAGATTTATTCATTACGACATTTTAATTATAGAGACTCGGTCTAACTGAGGGTTTTTATTTCTATATTCTTTATTCAACACTACGGACATAAAAAATCTTTCTTTTTAAACAAATTGGCATTTCTTTTTTGCAGTAGTAAAGTTTTATATCCGAAATGTTAAATTAAGTGGTAAAGGATGGAAAGAAGATCTTAAAACTTAGACAGATGCCATTGCATGCTCAACGTTTAAATTTTGTACAACTCTCATATAAGGATTTTTTCGATATTTTTTTTGGTACTCCAATGGCCCAAAAGCAAATCAGCGAACCTTTTTTCTCTTAAAATCAAAAGTGCAAAAGAGGAAATATGTGTATATATTATTTCTATCAAAGTCTAAAATTTTATGATTATTGAATCACCGAAAATTTGCAAAATTGCAAATAAGAAAATTCGCAATTTTTAAGTTCATATTCTAAAAATTTTTAAAAACTTTGAAGATATGCTAAATAAGTTTGATTGGTTGAAGGAAAACAGACTCCTGCAGGAAATTTTGCTTGAAAATCTTAAATATTGGAATCTTTACATCCTCTTTAAGTTCCTTTTTCTTATTATATTCTAAAATTATAAATATACGTCGTTCAGTTGAAAACTGAGGAGCAATTGAAAAACAACTTTTTCTAAAAATTTAGACAAGCACTGAAAATTGCGGATTTTTTGGAGCCATTGAAGCACCAAAAAAAAGAATTCCAAAAAATATTTTAAAAAAATACCATAAAGTGGAGTTGCACATAAAAAGGTTTAAATGATCAAAATTTCAAAAATTTGCCTCCATCAAAATTCGATTTTCATTTAATTTTTGAAAATTTTGAAAATTCATGAAATTTTTTGATGAAATCCGCGAATTGATTTTGTTTTGTTTTGCAGTGTTCACAAAAAGAACATTGTAACAATTGAATTGGAAGATATATATATATATAGTATACTGGTTGGACACTCTGAAGACGTGTGGAGAAAACAAATATGCGGTGAAAATGATACACTTAGTTGGTCTCCAGATTATGCAGAACATTTTGGAGTTAGTATAGCAATCAGTTTTATGCACTTTTCCCATTCATCTCACTACAGATCTTAAAATTTCAGAATTCAAAAAATTCATATATTTCATTGGTTGACACTTAAATGTGTGATTTGAGAGAACATATTTTGTTGATAACGATTTTGTTTTTCGATACTTTTAAATACTTCGCTTTTTTGAGCTCTAGAATGTGACATTTTAGACTGTTTTTTTATTTAAGAAAGGATTTGAATTTAAAGGGACAGACCGGATATGTAAGGTAGTTAAACTAAGTATGCAGTGTTGTGGACAAATTCTTTAGGATTCATTTGAGACATATAAAACGTGTCCACGATGTAAAATTACTGAGTTTGAGCGCATAGTCGACGTTCAAAATTATTAATTTGGGTGGGTACGTTTCTAGAATCGTTTTTTTAAATTATTAAATAACGACGACGAAAAATAAAGTAAAAATTATACAGTAAACTAATTAGATGATTAGGAACATATTTCTCAATATAAATTTGTCTATAAATCAATGTTAGAATCAATTATTTCGTTTTAATTAATATTTTGAATTTCTTATTTTCTTTGAATGTTCGCAGATTTCTACAAATTCTTCAAATGTCGTCTTTTCAATAAAAATTCCAGAAAATGTTTGTGAATAATGAGAAACTAGAATAATAATAAAATAGAAACTAATAATTGAACAAGATTACTTATTTTCGATGATAGGATAAATTTTATTTTCTCAACATGTTTCTTAACAACTAATTAGTTTACTGTAGAATTTCGTATTCGTTTTTTGTCATTGTTATTCAATAATTATAAAAACTATCCTGAAACGTACCCACCCAAAGTACGATTTTGAACTTCGACTTTGCGCTCAAACTTAGGATTTACAGATCTTTAAAAAGTTTTATATTTCTTAAATGAATCCTAAAGAATTTGTCCACAACACTGCATACTCAGTTTAACTACCTTATAGTCGGTCTGTCCCTTTAAATATATTTAAAACCTTCTATTAACCTTTCTTAAAATTTGTTTTGGAATGGGAATTTTTGTAAAAATTGTATTTTTCTGAATAGCAATAAAAAAGTTTCTAAATTCCTTTAAGCATGCAGAAAAATAATGATTCTTACGATTTACAAGTAATTTTACATTTCGCATTAAAGAAATACAGGCCTGTTTCACAACCCCGCCCTTGCCTTGAAACCTTTATTTCAAGAACAGTAATGTATCTTCATTTTATCTCTCTGCAGGACAAAACTGTAAATCATTTTCTATGAAGAAACTGGAAAAAACACATTATTTTCAAGATAGTAAATCTAGGAAATCTCCATCATTTTTGCTCTGAAATACCAATTGTGATTCTGACAAAAAACTCTTAAAATGACGAATTATTTGGGATTATATTGGTAGTGCTTTTACGAAGATCTAAATTCTTTTATCATACTGTGAATATCAAAAAATTTTCACAAGAAATGCTGTAAACCTTATTGTTTCCTGACTAGGTTAACCTGAGATATGCCAGGGTGTCCGCTAGTTCTCCAGGAAACCAGTTCAAGATACATCCAAAACATTGGCCTTACAGTACACAAACAGGGGAAGTTTAACGTTTAACATAAGTTTTCCGTCATCATCAAAATCTTGCTCTTAATATGAAAATGGTTCTCAGAAATCATGATTATTGTGTAAAGCTCAGAGTTGATCAACAAGCATTGATTGACCGACAAGCATTGATTGACCGACAACCTCAACTTGATTGGCAAATCTGATTAATTGATTGACAAGTTCATTAATTGACCAAAAAGCTCATTAATTAATTAACAAACTTATTACTTATTGACTGACCTGCAGTTGATTGTTTGATTGAAAGCTCAATTGGTTGATTAACCACCTGGTTGATTGATACAAGCCGATTGATTGATAGACAGACCGACTGGTTCACTGACAAACTGAATAATTGATTGACGCAGCGATTGACGGAACGACAAAATTATTGTCATTTGCTATGATTATAGTGCTCATTGATTTATTGACAAAATCATCATTGGTTCTCAATCTGTTTAGGAATACGCATGTAAATGTTCTAGAACTAACTAATGGTGTTCTACTAGCTGACTACGGATACCAACTAAGGTGAACATATATTTGTTTAGATTATAAATGTACAGTGTACACTATACACTGTACACTGTACACTGTACACTGTACACTGTACACTGTACACTGTACGCTGACTGTACACTGTACAGTCAGCAAAACAGCTTGAAATCATTTTAATCTCTGTGCTAAAATGTTTCGGGGTTAAGAGACTTTTGTAGATATTTGTTGGGGTAGTTATGTTACCTGTGTCATAGATCAACAATTTTCTTTAGAATTTCGCCTGGACTTAGCAATGGTTGGAATCTGTTCTCCTGTAACTCAGTTTAGAAAGATGGAGAGACATTTTGTGATTTTGACTTGTGCAATATAATCAAATGTGTAGATCATTATATTGCATAAATAAACGGTTTTAGAAAAAAAATAGTATGCATAAATATAAAAAATAGTATGCATAAATATAAAAAATAGTATGCATAAATATAAAAAAATAAATCTATGATTAATCAGAAAAGTAATGTTTTCGTTTTCCCTTTTAATAACAGAGCACCAACCCTGAGCACAAACCCTAATTTTGGTTTGTTTTTAAATGACATTTCTTGGGGGAA